GTTTACGGTTTTTCTTAACCCAGTTGATCCGAGGGTTTGATCGTCAATTATAGTTCGCAGCAAATATTATACTTAACACTGCTGAATTGGTTTGGAGAAAAAAAGACTTGAGAAATTACGATTCGTATTGAATTGAATTTTTATATTTGTGATAGTATTTGATGTGTATGTAAAATTTTATCTAAAAGTATATTGTTTAAAATTTTATACTTTCGATTTTTGTTCGTTTATTTTCGTTCAAATTATTTCAGCATGGCAATATATATCGATCAAACATTCGTAACAACTCGGATGCATAATAATTTTCACTTTGTAAAAAGAAAACTAATCTTTAAACAAGAACAAAATATTCAGAAATATCTTTATTCTTGTTTTCTTTTTCTGCATAATTTTTTGTCGATGCATAATTATTATCCAAGTGATTTTTGTAATTTATAAGTAGAAAATAAATCATAAAAAATTATCAAATCAAAAAATTCTTAAAATAGCATCTCATTTTTATACATTTTATTCGAAATTTTACGTGAAATTAAACTATTAGAGTGAGACTGCATTGGATTATACCTATTCTATATAATTTATTCACAATAATTAAAAATAAGTAATAAAACATAAATATTTGAATCAAAAAGTTCCTGAGAAAAGCAAGTATTTGTTATAATACATGTGACTTCAAAAAAAAATTATCTCAAGTACTTCACATCTTATTTCTGTTGCATTTTTTATTGTATTCATTAAGAATAAATAAATAGATCTCTATAATCATCACATTTGCACTCAGTTCCTACTTAGATCATATTTTTATGTATTTTTTTTAGCTTTATCTATCACACTTTCATTTTTTTTTTATTGTATTCTCATTTTTTGTTTCCAAAAAAATTTAGAAAATGTATTCTTCCGTTTTTTATGGAAAACAAAAAATAAGTTAATTATTATTAAGACGTCGCGGGTCGAATATATTTTCTAATTATAAAAAAATAATAATTGTCTCCATGTGTGAAATAGATTTGAGTGGCCAAATCGCTTCTTTTACATCACACAATGAAAAGGTGCACTTTTTGTAAATATTTTGTAAATACGAATACGATTTTTTGAGGAAAAAAAATCCATGAAAATTTAACGAAAATTTTTTTTTTTTTTTGTTTACTTTATAATATCTAAAAGTGCTTATGCTCAATTATATTAGCGTTTAAGAACTCAGGGGTAGTGGCGTACTTTGGAATTGTAAAGTATTCCTATTTTCCGTACTTAATAGGCCCTTCGTACATCGATTTTTTAGACTAGTTTCATGTATACGAACAGACACACAGTTGATTTGTTTTATTGTTTTCGAACGAATCAGCGATAGTAGATAAAATTAATAAAAGAAATGTGATAGGAGATGGAACGGGAAAGAGTGACTATTTTTGGAGGAATGACTATTTTCCTTCTAAATTAATTTGCTATTGATCTTTTAGTTGTAAAAATGTTAGGTTGTGGTTACTTGTTAGGGTCCGCGGGGCAAGATGGCCGTCTGTCTGTCACAAATTAGCCAAATCTTTATTTTTCTTGTACAAATATGTTTTTCTTTAATTATTATTAATAACGGCAATAAGTATTTCTTCCGATCGTTTGTTGTTAAGTAAGAATTGTATATTAATTGTAACATGACAATGAGCCAAGAGTTAAACCCAATTTTTATCAAATTTTGGATTTAAGGGAATAAAAATCGCCAATATCTCTCTATTATAAGTAGAAATGTGATATTGTAATTTGATTTTTTTAAGTTAAGTGTAAACTTATTATTATGAATACGATATTTTTGTAAGTAATTTTTTTTTTCGTTTTACATTAGTTTTTCGCTTTTTCTAGCGTTCTCGTTTTAAGGTTTATAGATGAAAATGAACGAAAAATCATTTTTTGTTACTTAAAATTGATTAAAAATTAATTACAACTATGCCAAGAAATTATACCTGTGTCTTTTATTTATCAATTATTTGATTATCACCCGAATTAACTTCAAAATACCCTTACACAGAATATACCTACACCCACACACATACAAAGCCATATTTAATCTATTATCATAAAGCTAAATATCGTTTAATAAGTTCAACATGAGTATTACATGCAGCTTGCAGAATACATAAGTACAGTTTCTGCAACTACGGCACAAAGCACAAACTACGGCATAAATTGGGTTCGATTCCCACTGATCACAAAAATAACATTATTATGTATGATCCTCTCATTTAAAAGTAAATAATAAGAAATAATACACTTTCATAATTTCATATTTTCAATTAATGAAACTGTTAAAATAATAGAATTGATGTTATGTTTACGTCACATGGAAGAATGGCTGACATCGCTGCACGAAAAAAGAAAGAAAATAAAAAATGACCAAAACAAGTGAATGTACACTTGTACAGATCGTGATTATAGATTAAATCACGCAATGTCTTCAAGTGCGTAAGTATAAGATATAACTTAAGTTTATAATAAGGACACAATTGAAAAGGTGAACAAAGATCCACCAATACAATAATAACTATGTGTTTTCCATATTTTTCTCAGTCATGTTATGATTGTCACTTATTGGTAGGAGATGAACCTCTTGCCATATACTGGCCACAATTTCAGACTCCCTTTTTTTAAGGGAGGAAAATAATGGAATGACTTCTCCCGCCTGGGTAAAGTGGGAGGAAGTATCAGACTCTTACTGACTAAAAACCACATCGTTCCTACTCCTGCACTTTGAGCCGGAGCCCTGGTAACCCGTTAAGTTCTCCGCAGCTCCGTATTGGCATGAGCCCTATTGAGCCCCATCTGTGGTGGTTTGATAGCTCTTTGAGGCGCGTGCAGAACTCGACGTACCACACGCTCGGGTCTGGTTCTGGTCGGCCGGCGAGCTACCCATGCTCGCCGTCTGCAAGCCTGTGCTTATGGGTATCATTATTGAGATTTTTTTGAAATATCGAAATAGCCTAATAATACTTACCAGGAATCGACAGTCGCACCAACGACCAACAAGGCAGTCTAAACAATTTTGTACTAGGTATAAGTAGTTTACGAATACATTATTTATAATAAATAACTAATAAAGTAAAATCGTGGTAGGTCCAAAAGGAGATGGCGGATATTTATGACAAGGATTGGCCGCAATAAGCTTTACATAGAGAGGAGTGGAGGAAGGGTAAGGAGTGTTTTGCCCCGTGGGCGTTTATGGCTGAAATAAAATGAAGTAAAATAAAACAAAACAGTTTAGAACTTTCCTCCTTTTATTTAGTTAACAGTCGCAAAATACATTATAATAATTAAACACTTAAAATAGGTATTTACAAATACGGGATCATTCTACCTACGTAGGCAAATTCCATACACAAACCATACAAAAATTAGAAAGCAAATACATAATACTTAAATGAGAAGGCAAAGGCACAATTTACATAATAAACTTTCAGTAGAAATTCACAAAAAAAAAAGAAAAAAATATCTACGAAAAGTTGACAACCAACAATAGTAAGCGAATTTGTCAAAAACTCCTCTGACTATATCAAAAACTTTTTCTAAAAAAAGAAGTAGAGGAATTCATTACTTAAATAAAAAAAATAAAAAACAAAAAAAAAATTCGCAAAGATTCTTGGCCAGCAAATTGTGTCCCGCTGCACTTAAAAAATAAAGGGAATATTTTTGAGTTAATACTTTATATGTATTGTCATTTAGTCGCCCTAAATACTAAACGAGAATCATATAAAATTAGCCAGAATACTGAACTTACGACAACGCGATAAAACAAACAATCTGTCAAAGTTACCGCAAACAAAAAAAAATAACTTTGACAAAATCAGAAATATTGTATCCTGCCGACTGTCAAACTCATTTTCATCATTTTATGTTAAACATCGATAGAAAAATTGTAAAATAAAATGGCACATTTAAGTAAAAAAATTCAGTCTGACAAAAATAAGACCTAAAAATACGACAATACTTAGATTTTAGTAAAATAAATAACTTTGACGTTGGAGTTACACATATATGCCTACCATTTCTAAATAAGCAAAGAAAAATAACTAAAAATCAACTCCGATACTAAAAAAACAACAAAAAATACACTACAAAACAAAATACAAGATACAAAAAAAAAACAAAAAAATCACAATGATCTATCGACATTGTATCTGACAAATCGGCATCGTTGCCGTAAAGCAAAAACCATTATTTTCTGTATTTAGTTAGAACTTCTGAAAAATGCTTATATGTAATAGGAAATTGAGATGACAATAATGATGATGTTTTTAAATAAATTATAGATAATAAAGGATCAAGAAAAACACGAAATGGATAGTGAAAAGGTTTTTTTACTAATAAAGTTGACACTACCGTGAAATTGATGGTATACCCAACATATGTGATCTTTTATAATTCTCCTAAAAAACAATATATCCAAGGATGTTGTGAAAGACCTATAATTAAAAAACTCCAAATCATACACAGTTGCATAATATAACTATTATTATTTTTCGACTAGATAATTTTAATCTATATAAAACAGAGTGAGACAAAAACAATAAAAATCACGGTATTTAAGAGATCAAAGTAACAAGATGGATGCACAAACCTTTTCCTTATCCTGTAGTATAAATCAAGCTTTGTAATATATTTAAAACATATTTAGATATGTCTTGGAAACTGGTGTGCAATATTATTATATAAATTTACTTTTTGCATTGCCGCTATTTTATTTAAAGTCCTGAAAGTAGTTATTACTCTCGAATTTCCAGTCCAAATCTAAATAAATGTTTTAAGACAATTAAAATTAAATTATGAAACCATGATAGCGCATACAGCCTAAATATTTTGTTCTAAAGAACAATAATTTAAGATTAACTAAAAAGAAAATGACTAGAAAATTTCAGTAAAAAAATACACCAGAAAAATATGATTTTCAATAAATACAAAACAATATTTTTTTAGTTTTAGTTTGTATGCACTATCACCTCCTTTTCACTATTCTCTTCTTAGACTTCCACCTTGTAGGGGGAGCCGGGGATGTGTTCATCTCCCCACTTGACGATGACGATGTAGTCTCCCCTATCTCTGACGACGTACCAGCATTCATAGTTGTTCTTTCCTTTGTGTTTCAACTGGACCTCATCACAGGGACCTTTGGGTCCGTAGATACCAACGTACAGGATGTTGTTACCTGAAGAAAGAGAATTGCGATATATTTTATGATACCAGTTACATTTTGATACATATTGGCTATCGCAGCTCTCTATGCTAGATATAATAGTATTGGAAAAGGATTTGAAATAATTTTACACATTAAATTACTGTAATAGGTACTGTAGGAAAATCAAATAGAAAGAAAATAATTATCATAATAGTCTAAAAACCTCATGTTCCATTGCTCTTTAATTTAGAAAACCAATTGATTCTACTATATCTTATTTTATATCTTATTCTCATAAGTGTAGAATAGTATACAGAACAATAGTTCTAAATGTCAAAGGACAGTGCCGATTGTTTATCACTAGGTGATCTGCTTGTCACCTACAACACCAGAGGCGTTACAAGCGCGTCACCGACCTTTTGGGAAAGCGATAACCTCACGACGACATACAAAGCAATCGTTGTTTCACGTCGGTTCTCTGTGAGGCCGTGGTATCACTCCGGTCTAGCCGGCCCATGCGTGCCGAAGCGTGGCTTTCCTAAACTTAATATCTGTCTTAAAAACAAAAAAATCTTTACCAGCATCACCAGCGTGCACCGTGAACTGGTTGTGTTTGTTAAGGTACGCCTTCTTCAGCCCCATGCCCTTGCTGGTGACCTTAGAGGCGTCTGATTTGAAGTTGGGCAGTACTGGACCTTGCTTCTGCATGGACTTGGCGACTTTCTGGACTGTTTCCACAGTTACTGATGATGTTTCCTGAGCTCCTACTTCAGCGAGGTTTGCACCTGTTGGAAAGAAGTAGTATAGTATAATTTATTGAATTAAAGGGTGAATACCTTACGAGAAGTCCTAGTTTAAATGTTAAGGCATTCAAAAAAATACTAATGATGCTTTGACTGCCTCAGTTGACAGTCTCCTCAATGTCGCAAGTGCGACTGCCGGTCAATTACTCAGTTAAAAAAAACTTGTGTAGTAGCACGGAGTCTGAAATTGTGCCTGGTATATAGCAATAGGCTCACCCCCTATTACATGGGACTCATAACATAAATATTGAATAGTGAGTGTCACATTGTATAGTGGCATTAAGTGCCGTAATGTGCAAACTCTGCCTACCCCTTCGGGGATAAAAGGCAAAATGTACAGTAGGTAATAAAGCCATGTGAGTAGAATTCGTTTCCATCAAAGATCTCTCGGTCTTTCCAGAAAGACAAACAAAAAGAAGCTCTACGCAACTTACCGGTAGCTTCAATCTTGAACGGTGATCCGACGATGTGGGCGCCGTTGTACTTTATACTCATGTAGTAGAATCCAGGTGCAAGAGGTGTGTAACGAACCTGTATACATTAATGGTATTCAGTATCATGATAAAAGACGAAAATACTGTCAGAGTAGTAGTCCTAGTGAGATTTCTGATTTAAAATTAAGATTTTTATCTGTACTATGACCAATTTCTTATAATGAATAAAGATTGAAAGATTTAAAGAGTTCTGGTATAAGATAGTCAAACACCGACTATTACTTTTAATGTTAAACAGTCCCCACACTAGGATATTCTCCAGTGTCGTGGGTGCGTCTACAAACATACAAGTTCACACCCAGACCCGAAACAACAACCTGTGGAACACAAAGAGTTGCTCCGTGCGGGAATCGAACCCGCTACACGTTGCGCGGCAGTCGGTTGCACAGCCACCGCATCAACCATGAAGTCAACTAATGTTGTTGTTGTTGGGGATAATTCCCAACATAAATTATTAGACCTCAAATGGCAGTTACTCACGGCCTTTTTTTTTAAGGGGGGAAAATCATCGAATGACTGCTCCCGCCTGGGTGAGACGGGAGGGAGTGTCAGACTCTTACTGACTAAAAACCACCCCGTTCCTTCTCCTGCACGTCGAGCCGGAGCCCCGGTTACCCGTTAGGTTCTTCGCGACTACTCACGCCCTTACGACTTCAACCAACAAGACTTTGACAGCAGGGAATGGTCTCGAAGTTACTTAAAACATAATGTACTGCAGAAACAATTCTTACCTTGTAACCTTCATCTACATCCGTACAGTCCATAGCGACTCTTGAAGGTCCATCCATGGTGACAGCCAGCAGACCAACTCCAGCATTGCATGTGTCGATGATCAGATCCGTCTTCACACCTAAAAAAAATTGGTAATGTAAATATGTTAGCAATTTAGTAAGAGATCGTCTGGCTGACTAAGAACTAGGTGACCTGGACAAATATAGTGAAAACTTGGTGTTACATCGCACAGTGGCATTAATTGCCGTAATGTGCACCTCTGCCTACCCCTTAGATTAGATTTTAACCCCTCTAGCGTCCCTATGAGCACCCGGTGAATCATAAGAAAAAATGCTTCACGCTGCTTTCTCTTTTATAAAATCTATTATTAATGTTTTGTTATTTTGACTGTATTTGTTTTATTTCTATTGTAATGATCCTTGTTTTCGTGTGCCATTGGCCAAATAAGTGCATTTTCTTGCGTGCATAAGGATAAGGAAATGCATAAGGAACGCGGACGCTCGACGGGTTAATTAGGTACTAAAACTTACCAGTCTTGACTGCCCCCAAACCAGGTCCATGAGCGTGAACCGCTGCAGGGTCGGCGTCGTCCTTTCCGACCTGGAGAAAATATACATCATGATCAGCTACAGTTTTTGCGTCATTTACTTTCACTGCTTTCACAATATCTCTTTGTAGTAAGTGGACTCTATCGTGTTTTTTCTTCTTCTCTTATACTATCTGCTGATTCACGTCGTTGCGGGAACCAAGACAGTTATTCATGTCCCTGGGACGCGCCGGACTACAGTGTTCCGGTTTCATGGTTGTATCTACTGTAGACCCTGACTTACAGGGATTGCAGCGGTTTTGGGAAGCTGTGGCGGGCTTGTCCCAATATAAAAAAAGAATCTCTTTGTTTTTGATGCGTATTTAATCTTATGATAGTTATTTGTAGTTGATGGGTACAATTAAGAATAAAAAATTAAAACAAATTAACATAAACCTGAATAAAAAATACACATCTTCAGTTTTATACAAGAATATAAAAAAAAGTTTGGTCCAGTTTCACAATTACCGATGTTTAAATTGATGTTAATTTTACTGATAAATATCTACATCAATATGGACGAAAAATACGTCAATCAATCGCATCAGTTCCATTAAAAAGAACTAAATTAGAGTTTATTCATTTTTAGTATCTTTGTACTAGTGTAACAGTGGTAAGTTACGCCATCTATGAGAGTGAACGGGAAACATCTATAAGGTAATTCTAGCCTTGAGTGGCGCTTTAGTCTATGTTTGTATGAGTTCTAATAATGTCGAGTATAAGTTACAAAATATAAATTATTGTGGCCTTATTATGATTTGAGTTTTGAATCTGGGTAACGTTTCAGAAAGGGCTTTTTTTATTTGATTTTTTTAAGGAGGGAAAATCATCGAATCACTGCTCCCGCCTGGGTGAGGCGGAAGGGAGTGTCAGACTCTTACTGACTAAAAACCACCCCGTTCCTTCTCCTGCACGTCGAGCCAGAGACCCGGTTACCCTGTAGGTTCTCCGCGACTTCAGAAAGGGCTAGCCTTAACCGCTATACCTGCGTCTTTACAATTTGTACAACGTTACAAATATTTATTTAGTTTCATTAAAACGTAATAATACACAAGCCGTTTAGCGCACAGTAGACCCTATTCCAAGCTTCGCGATAAAATTACTGATATTTTTTTTGAAAAACACAAATATGTAAATTAAGATGTTTATCAACCTGAGTTATAAGAGCTTAACAGTTGCGTTTTTTTTATACTACGACAGTGGCAAAAAGCACACGGCCCACCTGATGGTAAGCGGTTACCGTGGCCTATGTACGCCTGCAACACTTGGGGCATTACATGCGTCTTGCCGACCCTTAAGAAACCTATTCACTGCCCTCTTGAAGAACCCCATGTTGTAGCCCACTGGGAAAACTACAGCAGCGTTTTTGATCATTTGACCACTTAGCTGACACTGGCTAAAGAAAGTATAAAGCCATCACATAATCAATAAATCATTTTCATAACTAACCTTGATCCTCAACGGAGAAGCAGGAATATGGACTCCATTGAATTTGACATTGATGTTGTGAACACCATTTTCCCTTGGCATGAACCTGATGCTGTACTGGTCTCCGTCTATGTTCTGGATGAAGCAGTCGTCGGTCTTGCCTGATGGGGCGATCACCTGGTGGAAGAAAATGCAAGTTTATTAAAAAAATATTGTAATAAACAAAATGTTCCTAAAAGGAAATGATCAAGTCACGTAGCAACCATTTTAAGTTTTAATTCACTATATATATCTCTAAGTAAACTAGCTACTTCCGCGCGGTTTCACATGCTCTGCTCAGCTCCTATTGGTCGTAGAGTGATGTTTTATAGCCTATAGCCATCCTCGATAAATGCGCTATGCAACACAAAAATAATTATACAAATCAAAAAAACAAACTCTTCCGCTTTATATAATAGTATAAGATTATTAGCGACCTGCGACGCGGCGACTGTTGTGCTGCTACTGCTACGCATCGCAGGTCGCGAAATGCTGCTCATGAATATGAGCCTCTAGCATGGCTTGAAACTAGTCGAGTTCCTCGTCAAACAGTTCCGTGAGTAAGCCGAAAACATAATAATTAATTTAGATGAGTCTTAGAAAAATATTTTTTAATCTGATGCCCAATTCCCCTCCCCCCCTTCATAATCCCAAAAGGCCGGTAATGCACTTGTAACGCCTTGGTGTTCCAGGTGTCCATGGGTGACGCCGATTGCATACCATCAAGTGATCCGTCTGCTCGGTTACCGGATTATGCCATAAAAAAAAATTAAATTAGTTTTTGCTTTTCACGACCTGTCCTAATTTGACACCGGAATTCTAAATAGTGCTACACTGTGCTTCATCCGAAAACCAAAATACATATTCTAAATCTGATTATGGCATACAGTGTTTCAAGCTTTTATATTATTATAGAGATAAACAAGGAAAACTCAGCCTCATTGCTTTTCCACGGACAGAATTCCGACGCATCTCACAAGTTTTTTTGACCAGCCCTTGAAGGCAAGTTTTCCGTACCCCATATTAATTTTTATGGCACGACGTGGCCAACTTTGCCACAATATTCATCGGGTACTGGCATCTTATAAAATATTAGCGCCAACATGATTTATTCCGCAACAAGCCGGTCACGTACGGACAGTTCGTTTTATTACATTTTTTGTCCACGAAATCTGGGGTCAGGCACACTGTGCAAGAATGTGTAGATATTGTTATGATTTTTAGGTTTGGTGTTAGAATTTGGTTTCTGTGTTTTTTGTGTTTGCTTTGACTCTAAATCTTGATTTAAAATTTTACATATTTATATATCTTATTATGATACATCAAATTACAAAAATAATAATAGGTTTGCATGTCAGTTAGTCCTTTAGCGGTTATATAGGACTTGCTGCAATGTTTATATGACCTCATAGAATAATCTTTATTTTACACCATTAAACTGTCAAACACTAAGCGGTCACCGGTGACCGCAACCTATTGTTCTTTAAACTGTCAAACACCAAGCGGTCACCGGTGACCGCGACCTATTGTTCTTTAATTGTGTCTATAAAACCGGTACTCGACGAGTTAATTGTGTCTATAAATACGGTAGTCGACGAGTTAATAATACAGTACATACAGAAAGAAAATAACAAATATGAATAAAAAAATAATAATGGGCACAAAGGCGGCCTTATCACCTATAGTGATCTCTGCCAGGCAACATTTGGGTGGATATAATGTAAAAGCAATATTTAGACAGGTTGTATACTACGAAAAAAAATAGTATGTATGTTCATTATATTATCAAAGTCGTATCAATCATACGTTATTAATTCACAGCTACTTGAGATGCAGTTTTGCATTCACTTTAAATTTATATTAACTTTAAATTATAGCCCTTAATAACACATAGTACGAAATAAATTTAAAAAGGAACCTATTATACTTATAATATAGGGTATTATCACTCCTCATTTCAAACCCAACATAAATAAATAAAAATAAAAATCACAAAATCAAAACTCGCACAGTGAGCTCAAATCTCCGCAAATGTGGTCAAAAAATCACCCTAAACGCGGAATAAACGCACGTTTGATACTGCACAGTGGTCCATCGATCATAAATCTTGGACACAGCCGGACATAGGCGATCGTCATGTTCCCACGATAAATCAAACCGAAGTTAGGGTGCATCAGAAGATATTGTCTAGAGGTAGTAAAGTTCGTCTTATATAAATGTTAAAATTTATCTTGTACTTGTGCGAAATATGGCGTATTTTGTTAACGGCTTTCTGTCAAATTATGTTTGATTGTGTGATTATATAAGTAAGGTCTTAGATTATTATTGCTAGGACCGTGAGAGGGGTAAATGTTTTCAAAGGCAACATGTCATTTAAAAGTTATCGGCTAATCCTAAAATCACTCCTATGGCAAGATCGGCCCGAATAGCTAGGATAAAGGAATACTTCTTAACTTACTGAACTTGATATAATATACTATTTTACTAAGACACTTTGACAATTTGTTAAACGAAAATAAAATTACATAATATTCTTACTGTCTTTTCATTTAAACTGTTAAACACCGCAAGGACACCGGTGACCGCAACCTATTGTTCTTTAATTGTGTCTATAATGACGGTAGGTACTCAAAGGGTTAAATCAAAATTTGAGCGCTATTTAATCTACGGTGTGTTCGGTATTTAAGGAATTAATCTGTGCTGTGTCACTCATATGTCATTTTGTTGACATGGATTTTACAGATACGATCCTATTTCGTAGTAGCGGAGATACACTGCTTATACTTAGTAATTTACTAAATAGATTTTATTTTCATTAAAATATTATTCATTTTAGCGGTAATTAAAATAGTAAATGTTGCTTATTTTGACGAGATAGATGTCTACAGTATCTTTGACACGAAATAATATTATCACACATTAATCATATTCCTAAGTCAGCGAAGGAACCTCAACATATTGTAGACGTTAAAGCTTACAAAAAAATTAGGATTAAACATGAAACAAAGTACTAAGGCCGCTGTACGTGCAATTACTATTGGTTAAAATGATTTCACTTACCCTGCCATCCAAGCTACCCTTGGCTCCATTGAGCCTGATGTAGAACTGTGTTGGTTTATCGACTTGTGCTGAGTCAGGGAACTGAGCCACCTCTAGAAGGTGGGCGTCTCCAACAGCTGGTGAGATGTAGACCTTGAAGGGTGAGTCAGGGATGTGCTGCTCGTTGAATTTGAGACCGATGCGGTATTCACCTGGGAAGAAAAGAAGGCGGTTAGATTTTTAGTGATCAAATAAGCGATCAATTAAGTGTCGGAGAGCCATGCTTTGGCACGAATGGGCCGGTTCGACCGGAGTGCGTTGTGTTTCGTCGTGTGAGTGAAGTTACCGGAGGCCCAATTACCCTCCCCTTCCCCAATCTCCCCAATTCCTGAATCCCCAACGATCTTCAAACTCCTAATCCTCAAAAGGCCGGTAACGCACTTGTAACGCCTCTGGTGTTCCAGGTGTCCATGGACGACGCCGATTGCTTACCATCAGATGATCCGTCTGCTCGTTTACCGGCTTATGCAATAAAAAAAATCAATAGAAATGTTCAAAAAAAATCTTATTTCCTAAAAGCATTGCAAGTAGGTACTACGTATACTTTTGTGGGACACACAAAATTAATATACATATAACTGTTTGACGAAGAATTCGACTAGTTTTAAACCATTCCAGAGGCTCATGTTTATGAGCAGCATTCCGCGACACACGACGCGGTGACTGTCGCACAGCTATTTTAGTAGTAGCCTCTAGTAAGGGTCGAAAGTAATCAAATTCGTCGTCAAACAGTTGCAGAAGTCGAAAAACATGATAATTAATAAAGTTTCACAAGTATTGCGTATTAATAGGTTTTCTTTTATTGTGAATCAAAAATTCCATCCAATGGTTGTTTCGAAGAAATCGCCGCGTGTGATAAGACCGCCCATTGTACTCAAATTACTATTGCAATGTTTACAATTTCTTTTTCTGTGTGTGCTATAAAGTGTAAATAAATAATACAGTTTAAAGTTCTATTTTGATAATGTTATCTGTACACAGATTGCAGACCCTTTCTCTGCAACTAGGATAACCTGTATCTTAAGAGACAATGTTCAATGTTCATAGTGATTGCATATATAGTATCGTTTTCATTATCGTTAATCGTTTTATTGTTTTCTAATTTAGCTTGTATGTATGTACCTTTGGATTTGCTTTTTGGTTTGGACTTACATAATACAGATCCATCGGATACAAAAATCCCTAAACGTATTGTTGAGCCTTCAGTTTCTGATGTTAAATCTTTATTATCTCCAAAACAAACTTCGTCTCCCCATCTTCTAAACTACACATCAGATATCTATTCCCAACATTATCAACGCAAAAATCAAACGAGATCCGATCCGGAAACGTCCCACAACTGAGGACCACAAAAAACCGGAACACCCAATTAAATACGGAGACAATTCGTATTCTAATACGGCCAGCCACCCAAAAACATCGACAAATCTCCTAATAAATTCGGTCAATTCAAAAAAACTGACGAAATTGCAAAAAGTGCTGTTCGATTTTGGAAAAAAGAGGTACTATGTCGCTCTGTATAACGTACTAATGATGCAACCAATAATTCTTGGCTGACTGACTGACTTGAGATATTTAAATTTTCTACGTTTCTTTAGGGTCCATTTTAGTTTTATGGTTATAAAAGTTTAGGTTCTTTGCCATTATTATTTAAATTAAATCATTTATTCATCAACAGTCTATAAGTGCCCACTGCTGAGCAAAGCCTCTTCTCACACGGAGAAGGTTTGAACATTAATCACCACGCTTGCTCAATGCGGGTTGGCGATTACAAACTTATAATTAGAAATTATAAGCCCAGGTTTCCTCACGATGTTTTCCTTCACCGTTTGTCAGTGGTGTCTGAATAATCTTAGAAAGTACATATAACTAGGAAAAAATCATTAATTCATTACATTTGAATCACATTATTAAGTTACTACAATCAAAATCTGCCGTCACAAGTGTATAAAATATTGTTGGGTTAAGTTAATAAACATAGACTAAATAGATTTTGGATCAGTAGGTATTGCATTGTAGATAATGCCATTTTAAACAAGGCTGTTCCATACAAGTTGTGTATTATCAAAATCAAATAAGTAGATACAATTTATAATTATACGGAACAAAACTCTTAATAGTTTATACCAAATCGTGAGCAATGTTGTGTATTACATTGACTTATTTATTGTAAAATTTTAATGTGTTATTGTTTTTGTCCCTTCCTTAATCTAATTATTTGTCTTACTTTCTTTCTCTTTCACAAATAACTTATTTTTTTAAACTACATTATTCTCATACAGAACTGAACTTAAATAACTCAACTCTACTATTCATACTAGCTGTTTTACAGACAGATACATACAGAACCTTCTTATTATAATGGATGTCGTACTTGATTATCGTTTTTCAATATGAACAAAATTCTCAGCGGTGGCCATATAGTTTGTTACAGATTTATTTACATCCGAGGTAGGACATTTTTTCAAGGGACTTTTTGTTGATTGTACGAAAAAAGAAATACTCGTAGACCTTTTCGGAAACAATCCTTTTGTCTCAGAATTAGTTATAGGGCTGATGATACCATTGAATTAAACGGTAAGTTATTGAACTGAGTTAGATGTGTTGAAGGATATTTATGTGTTGACATTTAAATAGGTCACGTCTGATGTCAATCGTTTTCGAATTTTAATTTTGCGACAGTTGTATTAAATTATACCTATCTCTTGTAAAAAAATATAATCAAATTCTTAAATTTATGATACCTAATAATTGTAACAATTAGTTTTAAACTGTCAAACACCAAGCGGTCACCGGTGACCGCAACCTATTGTTCTTTAATTGTGTCTATAAATACGGTACTCGACGAGTTAATCATACATTACGTAGATACAAACCTCAATCCTTTAGGTAAGCATGGAAAAAGGAGATAAATATTTGAGTGAAATTAATAATATCAATGAATTCTCTATGGAAAATCCTTAGATTACCTATAAAACTGTAGGTATATTCAAACCTATACAATACTTAAACAACTTTATTAAACGTAAGTTATGGAAAATAATTTTCCATAAACGACGTTTAAAAACCGACATCGACCTCTTTTTTGGAGTCGTTTAACATATTAAAAGCTGCTCGTTAATATAAAATATACTTTACTAAAAACCACATTCAACTGTCAAACACCGCGAGGACACCGGTGATCGCAACTATTGTTCTTTAATTGTGTCTATAATGACGGTACTCAAAGAGTTAAAATCGGTGCAACCAATTGCGAGATAATCGCAGATAAACATAATATTATAATTATACTCTCTTCACTTCACTTTTGAACTCAGTTAAAAATAACCTCAATTTCACTTAACGACAGTTAACTCAACAGTGCAACCAACCACCCAGTGCTTCAAATAATGACGTATGCTATGCAAAATAGTGGTATTGACATGTTAAGGGTTCGATGCCCGGCCCGTTTCCTTCTGCTTCTTATTAAGAAGTTTTTGTTGAAGCAAAAACTGAATTTTAGCTTTTTGCAAGGAAAATATTTTGCAGGTGGCTACTGGTGTTACGTCAGAATTGGAAGGTAAAAAATAGAAAGTGTCATTTAAAATGTTTTGGCTTTTTGCAGTGTTTAATTTAAACCAATCATAAAGTTTTCATCATAGTATTAGTGAGTAGCACGGAGTCTGGAATTGTGCCCGGTATATGGCAATCGGCTCACCCCCTATTACATGGGACTCATAGCATAAATAGTGAAAAGTGGGTGTTACATTGTACAGTGGCATAATGTGCCTTCTACCCCTTCGGGGATAAAAGGCGTGATGTTATGTTATGTAATAATAGTAGCTAAACCTATCCTTCACAAAATATCAAATACTTATTTGCAACTTACAAAGTTGAAACATAAGTACCTAAGAACCCGATGATGCGTCAGCTGTATTTAATGACTATTTAACAGTGGCAACCCTTTGTTAGTCGGCCATATTTGTTTTGCTAATATAATATTAGCATACCGCTTTATTAATTAAGTCCTAAGTTTTAATTGCTTTAAGATTAGCCATTTATGGTATATGAATAGGATGGTAATTTTACTGGCTAACGGCTGCAGCTGTCAGTGGCTTTTTACTATGACACATAACATCATGCATTTTATCCCCAAAGGTGTAGGCAGAGGTGCACATTGCGGCAGTTAATGCCACTGTACAATGTAACTTGCAATGCTTCCCTGTGCGTACTGCTAAGGAGTGGAATGCCATAGTCTGTATTTCCTGAAGGATATAACCTGGGTGTCTTCAAGGCCCGAGTGAATAGGTTGCTTATGGGACGACGTGCTCCATCGTAGACCGCATCATCGCTTATCATCAGAAAGCCAAATGACGGCTCATTCAACCAATATAAAAAAAATACTCACTTTTCACTTTTTACTATTTATGTTATGCGTCCCATGTAATAGGAGGTGAGCCTATTACAGTATACCGGGCACAATTTCAGACTCCGTGCTACTATTGAGAATTTTATGTTATTTTGCTATGAAAGTATTCGTAATAAGTATTATTTACTAGAATATGCAATTTTAAGTTTTATTGGTTGATGTTGATTATGGTAATCGAATCGTATAGTTTTAGAATTAAATCAATTTGTGCCTTGTTCTTGATTGATGTAATTTGGTGTGTTTCGTGTGAATTTATAAATCAAATGAATGGTATTCTTTGTGTTGTTTCTCATTGAGTTACTTCAATATTCATTTTGGTGTAAACTTTTCTTTTTTTCTTATATGTTTTACTACTTGGAAACTTTTAGTTCTTACACCTTTTAATAACATCTACATTTTTTAGGATTTTACTCTGTATAATGATATAATAAAGGCTTCTATAGATCGCGGTTTTAGCTACAACTACATCTAAATCCATGGAAGTCATAGTCACGGGTAACAACTAAAGAAATATAAACAAACATGGCATAATACATAACTAAAAGCTGACGTCATCGCGAAATATTTACAAATGGGGCCATCGAAAAGGGCGCGCATTTCAAAAGTCGGTCAAAAACTCGCTCAAACGATACAAAAGTAACATTCCGTCAAAACGCGTCCACCATTTCGTATGTTTTAAAAACGTTTTTTTACTAAACGATTATTACCATCGGGCGGTCAATTAAAATGACTGCAACACACCACAGTCAAGGAATGCAGGCTCCAAGACTCTCAACTGAATTTGTCTCCTATTCTATTGTATTCTGGATGGCAAAAAATACCGAATCTCCCCGACAAAGAAGCGGTCCCTTTTTGTCTTGAAATACTTCATAAGTGTATCGCGATTAGAAAATTTTGAACCATCCCAAAATAATAATGACTTAAGTTTTGTTAGGCGACAGTTATTTTATGATTGGCCAGTTTTTTTGGCCCGCAATGTCTCGTGTTTTGCCCACTGTTATGTTATTGAAAATTATTTGGTAATTTAATGCAATGAATTTTAGGTTCTTATTGAATTGTTAATAAAGTTTTGGGTATTGTTTGGTTGCAAACTGTATTATTATTAATAGTTAGTTTGTTATTATTGTCGTTTTTAATACTGATTTCTGGATAACCGCGCGCATGAATGGTATAAAATTAAGTCATTTATAAATGTATTTATAAAAATGTATTCCGAAAACAATCCATTACGACATTCCTTCGTTTTTATCAGAATTAATTCTAATGATACCATCTTCATTAATTATTACTTTCAATTGCTTCTGCAGACCACAACCCCTGCTGTTACGATTGACGAAATTCTAGAAATTTCGAATCAATCAAAACAATCTCCATTTTCGTCTCTACATGGGACAACAGATAAAAAATTGCAACTTTTTAAAATTCGAACGCGAGGCACAACCGACAAAGATGCCGCTGTCAATATATGCGAATATATTATCTGTATTATACTTTTACAGATTATAAATAATACTAAGAAAATGATTACGAATGTTATTTTAAAGTTAAAGTTTTGTCTTAGTTGAAAGAATTTATTTAACATAACATCATGCTTTTTATCCCAGCCAAAGGGGTATACAGAGGTGCACATTACGGCACCTAATGCCACTGTAAGTAAGTACAATGTAACACCCACTTTGTACTATTTATGTTATGAGTTCCATGTAATAAGGGGTGGGCTATTGCCATATACCGGGTACAACCTCAGCAACATTTTTGCCGACCCGGGAATCGAACACGAAAGCCCTTGCCCGGCAGTCGCACTTGCGACCACTCGGCCATCGAAGCAGTCTTAATTTATTGACAAATTAATCCAGTTGTTGAAAATTCCTTAAAGATTTTTGCTAATAAAAAAATTAACTTACATCGAGGTTTCATAATACCTAATTATCTACTAGTCTATTACCGAAAATATTACATTTTAATATTTAAATTTGTTTTTGCCAGCACTTATATCGTTTAGCTTTACATATGAAAGTATTATTATATTTAGAATATACTACACCAGCATCAAAATATTGCAAAACTATGAGCCACCTTTACATAAGATGGTGTGTTAAAATCTCCACGCTTTGTGTAGTACTTAGTTTTTTTTTTATGGAATAAGTCGGGAAATGAGCAGACGGATCACCTGATGTTAAGTAATCCGCGTCGCCCATGGACACCAGAGGCGTTACAAGTGCGTCAATGGCCTTTTGAGAATTAGGAATTCGAGAACTGTAGGATTTTTCAAAGATTTGTGAGGTTGGGAGTGGTAATTGGGCCTCCGGTAATCTCACGCACACTTTCTGTGAGGTCGTGGTATCACTCCGGTCGAGCCGCCCCATTCGCGCCGAAGCATGGCTCTCCAACACAGAATAGAGGGTTCATGTTTCTATCCGCTCTCTGCCATATACTTACACATATTTAAAGGAAGAATACTCAACAAACAAAATCACTTATACATCCATACTAAAAATATCTAAAACAGTAACACACTAAGTAAAAACCATTAAAAAACTAAAGAATTTCTTAAGAATTACGAGATTCATTAGCAAAAACGTATATCGTAAATCGAAACAATCATGTGTGCCGAAAATGCGATGCGCATTGAAGTTTTTAAAAAACGAACGCGTCCCTCTATGGTCACATTACTAAAAAAAAATAAAAACAAATTGAAAAAATATACGGTCAAGCGCGAAGTGTATTGTGTGTTAAGAGTTCCGTAAGAAAAAATGTGGTTTTATTAAATCAGATATACTTTTATAAAAAAACGTTTGGAAGTATTCTTAATGCCGTTTTGTTTTCAGTTATTTCACATATTTCACTAACTAGAGTTCTATAAAGTTACTACGAAAGGACGTTGGTTTCTGTTTTATTTAAATACAAAATTAATTCTACAGAAATTAATCTACACAAATAAACTGACCAAAGACAATAAAACATCCTCTACTACAAACACCGGAACCAACACTATTCACAGTCCGTTTTTTACATCGCCCCGCGGAACTCTAAAAATCGAACTGTCAAAATGGTTCGCAGTAAATTTTGCCGCGGCCGCCGCTGATTGGTCAAGTGTCGAGTGGGCGTGGTCAACAATTGAAATACAGGTCTGTTTATTTATGAAGAGAAGTTGAATTGTTTTTGCTATAAAGAGGGGAAGGAGGGAGTTACAAATAGCATGGAATTCTACTTTAAATATATTTAAATAACATATAAATAGCACCCACTAAAACTATAAAAAGTTACAGCAAGCTACACGCATGTCTGTAATCGAATCGTTTCTTTCTTTTCGAATTGTTTTGTATGAACACGTTTTTCGATGGTTGGCTTTTATTTTGATTAATACTTTACCATCTCGTATGCTTTGTTTAAACTATTTAGCTGCAGGCTTTCCCAGTTGTATTTTTTTATTTGTTGATGTAACGTTATTACTTTAATATGGAATGAGAATGCCGGTGTGACTTGAATGGCGAAGTGCCTACAGTTGTGATAACGTTTTTTAGATAATAGACACCTTAATACATTTATAGTTACCATCTTTTGTACATCACCAACAGCCTATAAATGCCCATTGCTGAGCAAAGCCTCTTCTCATACGGATAAGGTTTGAGGATTAATCACCACGCTTGCTCAATGCGGGTTGGCGATTACAAACATATAATTAGAAATTATAAGCCCAGGTTTCCTCACCATGTTTTCCTTCATCGTTTGTCAGTGGTGTCTGCATAATCTTAGAAAGTACATATAACTTGGAAAATGTCACATTGGTACTTTGCCGTTGGTAGCCTCCGGGCCACCTCGACATCTTCTGTACCTACATATTAATGAATGAACCACAAAAACTCACCAGGCTCATCAACTTTGTAGGACACATCACAGGATCCATCTTTCCTGTCTTTGAAGTCGATCTCAGCCTTGCTGGGACCTTCCAGGGAGATGGCAAGCTGACCAGCTCCAGCTTCACGAGTCCAGACGTTGAATTCGTTGAAGCGTCCAGCTTCTCCTCTCTCCAAACCTGGACCACCAGCCTTGACCAAATGGGCTCCGGAATCCCTGAGGGGACCTACCGTGAACTGGAAGGGTGACCCTGAAATTAAAGTGGTTATGGTTAGATGCACTTTTATTATAAGAAATCTTTATGTTTTCTGTATTTCTAGTATATAGGTACTCTTGACATCCTTGTCTTATGATCCAAGTCCTATATCTGATTTTATTAGATTTACCAAAAAAGCTTGAAATAATTTAGAGATATAGGTACCTATTGACCATAAAACAATTACGTTGTTTGCACAGATATGTATAAAATGAAACAAAGATAAGGTTAAGGGACTGATAGATATTTTTTTAATTTTAATAGGTCGACGTTAACTATATCGCTGGTGGCAATTGATGATGCAGCCCACGATGAAGCACGTCGTCCTATAAGCAACCTATTCACTCGGGGCTTGAGGATAAGTCAGTCAAGTAATACCCTTCAGGATATAAACTTCGGTTGTATTATTCTATAATATCCAAAAGTACATCTAGTAAATAGTATTTATAGAGCAAAACTGGTCATCATTATGATGCCTATAGAATTCGCGCTATTACAGATAATTTTGAGAAAATCCTATTATGAGTAAATATAAAAATGAATCCCTTTTCCCTTGGTTACGGCGTCACACGTGAATGGCTGGACCGATTTCACTAATTCATTTTTGTTGTATTTATTATTATTACGAGAAGGTTCTTAAGACAGAAAAAATCCTGAAAATCCTACGGGAAAGGGAGAAAACGGGATTGCGCGTACAAAGTCGCGGGCAGAAGCTAGTGAGTAATAAAAAACCAAAATAATCTTAGAACTACTCAATTATACTTTTGTTGTATCGAAAATGTTGCTGCTTACCAGGAATATGAATTTCCCTGTACTTGACAGACACTGTGTGGACTCCCAACTCCTTAGGAACAAAGTGGACGGAGTAGAGGCCATCTTCCACCTCCTGGATCTCAGCGTCTTCGGAGACACCACCAGGGCTGGTGACGGTGGCAGCCAGGTCGAAGGAGGTGATGCCTGTTGGGTAATTAAAACAATAATGAATGTAACATAACATAACATCACGCCTATATCCCCGAAAGGATAGGCAGAGGTGCACATTACGGTACTTAATGCCACTGTGCAATGCAACACCCACTTTTCATTATTTATGTTATGAGTCCTATGTAATAGTGGGTGAGCATATTGCCATATACCGGGCACAATTCCAGACTCCGTGCTACTACTGAAATTGAGTGCTTAGTAGCTATTGCTACGAACACTGACCATGTATTTTGTAAGCTAGAAGTGTCAGCAATAGATCTTATTTAAACATGTGGGGCGTATAACAATGTCTAATAATAAGTTTGGACAATCCACCTTCAGCAAGGGTAGTGATTAATGCTCATTCCTTCTTAAGTTCAAGAAGAAGCCATTGTTCAGCATTTATGTCGTGTGACTTTGAACTTACCTGGCATTTTGAAGGTCAGCTTGCAGTTGGTGCCGACCTCCGTGAGAGGAGCAGGGTCTCTCTGCCTCTGAATCTTCTCTCTTTGTCTGTTGCTGCCCTCACCGGTGACCTGATCATAACAGAGGACAATAAGAAGAAGCACGCTAAGGACAGACTGATTTAGCCAGTTCATATCAACATACAACTCATAATCTTTAATAATCTTGGCATATCAGATCCAAGATATGGTCAATTTTAATCAAGCAAGGAAATATTCAAGGGAGCAAGATATATTTATTTGTACTTAAAAGCAATGAAATGAAATGAAACCTTTATTTGTGATACATAGGTACATTTGGTTGGTCATTTTTAGATTAAAGTGCGCTATGATCAGAGTTTAAGTCAGTAAGTCCATTAATTAATACCTAAGGTAAGTAAATATAATTTGTCGTGTTTTAATAAATTACACGTTAATATTGTTCGTCAAAAAGTCAGATGAAGAAGACTACTTAATGCATAATAAATCATAAAAATAAATTAATGACAATAGGTAGGTAATTAATGGATTATTGTAGTCAATACGTTATAGCTATACGTAAGTCAACAAATAAGCAAAATCAAAATTTATTCATTAAAAAATCTGAGACACTACCTCTATAATAACATTTTTGACACAGTAATTGTTTTAAAGATTTTTTAAAAGAATTAACATTAGCTTGTATTAGCTCTTTTGGTAATTTGTTATACTTATAGCAGTTTGCAGTTTTGCAGTAGCCACTCAACCAAGGCAACTGTAGGTCATAAATCTTGTTCTTGGGGTAAGAATCAGCTAAAAAATATGTAGACTAACCTTAACGGTGAAGGGAGAACCCTCAACGTGATGGTCAGCGAACTTCAGGTTGACGATGTAGTACCCTGGCTCAGTGGGCTTGTAGCTGATAGCCAACACGCCATCCTTGCTGTCTGCGCACTGGATCTCAGCCTTGCTGGGACCTGGGTGACAAGAGAAAAACGTGATAATATGCCTTCTGTTTTATAAAAGAGGTGCAGGAGTCTTTAGTGTGTTATTGGGAACTCGTATTCAATGGTCAAGAAGATCTACTGAATAATCTTATCCGATGTAAAGTTTTAAGAAGCATTTTGCTTCAAAAAGCGTTTAAAAAATTGGATATTGTTTCACCACCTCGTTTAAACTTTCAAACACCGCGAGGACACCGGTGACCGCAACCTATTGTTCTTTAATTGTGTCTATAATGACGGTACTCAAAGAGTTAACTTACCTTCACCTTTAAATTTTACTCAGATTTTTTGTTTAAGTTCGAATTGATTTACTATAAGTAAAAAACATGGTGGACGGTTCTTATAATTCCTTACCTTCGATGGAGAGTGAGAGACCACCGTAACCAGCGTTCCTGGTGTCCACACTGAAGGTGTTCTCGGCGTGAGTCTTGCCTTCCTTCAGGGCGTTGCCAGAAACCTGCGGAAGTACCATCATGAGTACGGCAGAACATATTAACTTCTTCAGGATCTATATATATAAAAATGAATCCCTTTTTCCCTTGGTCACGGCATCACGCGTGTATGGCTGGACCGATTTCACTAATTCTTTTTTTGTTGTATTTGTTATTATTAAGAGAAGGTTCTTAAGATAAAAAAAATCCTGAAAATCCTACGGGAACAGGAGAAAACGGGATTGCGCGTACGAAGTCGTGGGCAGAAGCTAGTGAGTAATAGAAAATCAATTAATTCAGTTGATGACCGAAAGTACTTTTTGTCAATCTGTTATCACAATATATTCGCACTATACATCAAGCATATTACACAAAACCCTTTAATATTATTTCATTCCCTTAGTAACCCCTTTGACAACGTTTACTAAAAAGTAATCTAACGCCCGAATACTGAAAGGCTACTAAATTTTAAGTTGTACTTAAATATCGTGCCATCTCTGTCACTTTACAAAGAATTAGTAGTGACAGAACTATACTTAAGAAAGAGCGACTTAAAATTCAGTGGCGTTTGAGTATTTGGACATTCATCACCAAAGGCAAATCACCAACCTTGACTTTCTTGGCGTCACCAACTTCCTGAGCCAGTACGGTGATGTTGAACGGTGAGTTCTGGATGTGGACACCCATCTTCTTCACGGAGACGATATGCTGACCAGCTTCGCGAGGAGTGAAGCTGATGCCAATGTTGCCAGAGGGAAGACGCTTGAGGAAGCAGGGCTCTTCTAAGCCGGATGGTGCCTGTAGAAGTAAAAATTGATCTTAATTTTACATTACAATAAACGACATAAACATGGTTCTCCCAGCTGTTCTGGCATACCAAAGTACTACTAATATTACCTTTGTGTGAAAAATATTGAATTATAATGAATTATTTCGTTTCTCATTCCAACGCCTCCGGTGTTCCAGGTGTCCATGGGCGACGCCGATTGCTTACCATTAGGTGATCCGTCTGCTCGTTTACCGGCTTATGCTATAAGTATTGTTGTTACATCGATCTTTAACCCATACTATAGATCTCAAAATATAATCGTCCGTCTTAGTCACAAGAAGTCCTAACCTGGATGGAAGCATTAAGGGTGCGGATGTCATTGTCGTTGATCTTGCCAGGGAGAGTGACTTCACTGCAGCTGCCTACAGAGATCTGGTTCCTCTTGCGACCCTCACCGGTGACCTGGAATGAAAAGAAGAAAATAATGTACATTGAAAAGCACACATCACATAGGCACCTCTCAAAGTAGAAAAAGATACTAATAGAACTCCTGTTGAAGTCTCAGTTTTAAGAGGAGTGACATTGTTGTTACAATTATAATAATGGTTGTTTTCATCAGCCACCCCTAAACCACCTCTTTACTAAGAGTTACTTAGCTTGAACACCTTAATTTAGATGTCTCTTACCTCTTACCTCTTATGTGTCATGTGTATAGGCTGGTGAAAATCAAAATATCAGTAAGTTTTACTTAGCTGACTGCCTCATTGGCCGAGTGGTCGCAAGTGCGACTGCCGGGCAAGGGGTCTCGGGTTCGATTCCCGGGTCGGGCAAAGTATTACTGGGTTTTTCATAAATATCACAGTAGTAGCACGGAGTCTGGAATTGTGGCCGGTATATGGCAATAGGGTCACCCCCTATTACATGGGACTCATAACATAAATAGTGAAAAAGTGGGTGTTACATTGTACAGTGGCATAATGTACACCTCTGCCTACTCCTTCGGGGATAAAAGACGTGATGTTATGTTATGATGATATGTTACTTATCTTCACAGTTCTTTAAAATTGTAGAAAAGGTGTCGAAAATGGGCATAAGTCTTCTTAAAAATTAAGCTCTGATATCATACCTTAGCAGTGTAAGGGGATCCCTTGATGTGTTTGTCTCCGAACCTGACGGAGATCTTGTATTCTCCAGGAGCGGTGGGCAAGTACGACACGGAGACTGTACCGTCTTTGTTGTCATGGCATGTGATCTGGAAGAAGAACATAGGAACCATATGTTAGTTTTGATACAAAATTTAAAAATGTGGCACAATATTTATAATAAAGAATCAGCATCAGCAATGTCAATTGTAGATGTGATTTAAGAATTTATTTCTCAGAAATAGCATACAATTCACTGACGATATATGAAAAAATATGATCACGATAATAATAATAATATAATTGAAAGCAAGATGATAAGCATGCGGGCGGTACATTGAAAATTTTCTACTAGTAATTTATTTATTAACAATGTGGGTATCACTAAAAATATTACAAGAATAACTCAAGACTTAGAAATTGGGATGATGACAGGGTATGAAAATTAAAAATCGAATTAGTCCGTAAGTTAGGTAATGAAAAAATGTTAGACACGTATTTTTTTTTTTACTCAATACTCAATTTATGTTTTGTTTTTATTAATAAATTTTGTCGTATAATATACACAATACTTAGTTAAAAAGAATCAAAGTTTAAGAGTGGGGGCTAAAACGTCATTTATACGTATAAAAAGTAGGTAACATAGAAGCTATTGAGCATGCAAGGATTTTAGGATTAATTTTAACTGTGCTATATAGGTATCTACGGCGTCTAATCTTTAAAAGAAGAAATGGGATATCTGCAGCGCACTTAAATAAGTTTATAGAAGGTATGTAGCAGTCATTTTATGTAACAAAATACTGATAGAATCAGTGCCAACCCTAATCCTGGACCAAAAATAAGCAAAAAATACTTTAATAACATGTTCTCTCAACCAGTTTTAATGTTTAATATCCTTCTTTATCTATCTGAACAAATTCTAATACGGTTCTCATGAAGTATATTCCAAAGACCTTGACCTTTCTTCGGTTGTGTCGGTCTGCCGTCCCACCAGTTCAAAAAGTGAGGGAACAGAGATTGAACTTGTGTTTGTGCACACATTTGTGCACTATAAAATCTTCTGCGTAGTGGGCTAATCTAGTATCAAACTGGCTACCATGATCAAAATCGATAGGAAGATTTATATGATATTCAAAAGACCTTACCTCAGCTTTGCTAGGTCCCTCCACAGCCATGGACAGTCCACCGGAGCCTGCTCCCTTGGTGCTGATGGTGAACTCGCTAGGCTCTCCACTCACACCGTTCAGGAGACCAGGACCGTAAGCCGTCACGTATCCTGAAGATATGGAGTCCACGTGGAACTTGTATGGTGAACCTAGAAATTGATAATTTTGGAATTAAACTGTCAAACACCAAGCGGTCACCGGTGACCGCGACCTATTGTTCTTTAATTGTGTCTATAAAACCGGTACTCGACGAGTTAAGAATCCATCATGACTTGGTCATATTGAAGGGATAGATGTCAGGAGATTTATGAGACAGGTGTATCTAGCGAGAGTCCTTGCTGGAGAAGTTGGTGACCTAGATGGACATATAGTGACCAAAAAGGTGATTTATGGAATAAAGGTCAAATTAGAAGCATCATCAATCGACGAGCATGCTTGAAGAGATTGGCGAATGTAGATGAAGCGAAAGAGGTATCCCAGAATCTTGTCACTTGGCGTTCAATTGTCTTTGCCTATCCTAATGGAAGACAGGCATGACGCTGTATATGTATGTGTATCCATCAATGAAGCACTCCGTCCTGTATAAATGGACTTAGTGATTCACGGTTAAGCTGTCTTACGTGAGTACGTAACTTCGATTTCAGTAATGTGATGAATAAAATTATTGTATTGGTGTTATAGTTAATTTTAATTTACACATACTGTCTAGCACTATTATTCTTATAATGTAGTGGAGAAAAAAATCTAGAAAAGGAATTAATCAAGACGAAAGGAGTGGCTGGGAGGATATGAAAAATTACATTCATGTTTACTGGACTATTTTGGCTAATATACATCATAACCATTACACAAATAGATTTTACTATGAACCGAAGATTTTCTGCAGCTCATTCTAAACTTTTTGGGGGAGAGGGAGAATTATGCAATGACTTATCTCGCCCGGGTGAGGCGAAGGGCGTGTCGGACTCTTACTGACTAAGAACCACCCCGTCCCTACTGCTGAACTGCGAGCCGGAGCCTCTACAACCCGTTCCGCGATCATTCTAGCCCTGAATGACTTACCTTGAACATGTTCACCATTGTACTTGACGAAGAGTTCGTGGACTCCTTCCTCTCGCGGTTCATACTTGATGCTGACTGTTCCATCTCTGTTGTCCTCGATCTGAGGCTGGTCTATGTGGCCGGACGGCATCCTGACTTCGGCTGCAAGAAGAAAAGGAATTATGGTTAATTTATGCTTGTTTGGAAGCAGTTTGTTTTAATTGAAATTGAACTACATATCACTGGTTCCAAAGTTTAAATTTCTGTGATAATAAACGGATTAAAAACTCCTAAGTAATCCTTGTCAACCCATCTTTTGTTGGTTTTGATTTATCTTAAATTAATACACTAATTTGCAAATTTAACCTTAAAATATGATATTTATAAATCAAATTAGATTTTCACTGCAAAAACAATGTATCATACTTTAGACTGAAAAGTATGATAGATTAATTTGGATATCAAAAGTTTTAAGACATTGCGTGTACGCAGACGATCTCGTTAGCAGTTTTTAATACCCGTCTTCTTCTATAAACAAGGGTCTTAAATAATACCTTGATGCCAAGGTTGAAACAGTTAAACAGTTGACAAGAATCAAAATATCTGTACCCACGGACAAACTAATAAAATATATTTATTAATATCAAAAATAATATGTTTAGTTATAAAAAATATTCGTGTCACGACCTTCAGTGAGGGAATTTTAACCTTATGATCTGTGGGATAGCTGAGTGAGATTTTCATAAAGAACTCTGTAGTTTTTTAATTAGTGGGTATAATGAGTTGTATATTACAATTGTCATTCGTACTATAATTATAATGAATGACTTCATAAGTACAGAAGACACTGTAACATAGACTTGTGAGCACAGAAACGGAACCTCTAGATTTTTAACTAAAATTCGAGGGTTACTCACGTGAGTATACTGAGAAAAGCTCTACTAGTTTCGAACCACAGAGGGGTTCTTTCTCATGAGCAGCGTGCGCGGCGATGTCGCGCAGCCTACTGAGTTTTTCTCTGTATATTCACGTGAGTAACCCTCGATTTTTAGTTAATTTAGTATGTCTCACGATAGTTATTATAAAAACACTAGATTTTTGTTCATTTTATCGAATAACCCATAAATTATAAAAAAATACTTTTGTTCTACAGAGTGTTCTCATTTTAACGGTAAACACATTGCCTTTTATACGACATAAGTTACCAATTAATAAAATATTTGTATCAAAAAGTATTTAAGGAATGCAAAAGAAAAAATGCTAGTGGTTTCGTTTTTTGCTACAAAGTGTATTGTATATATAGATCTGGAAATACTGGAAATATTTTCCCAATAACCGGTGGAAACCAGTTATTGGGAAAATTATAACTATTATTATTAAATTTAGTTATTAAAATATAATAACACTGAATATCCAGCAGGATTTGAAACTAGAAACAGTAATTTTAAGTAGATAGTAACGCTCGCTTCCATCAACCTCTCTTTAATTTTAAGCAACCCCTAAGCTTATTAGGTGGCAGTTAAAGACATTTTGGTTTTCACTAATCTATAGGATATCTAACAGTAAGACGTCAGCTTAGGTGCTGTCTAACTAAGTAACTGTTAGATAAGAGATGGTTGTTAGAAACGGCCACTAGTAATAGAAAAATGGTCCTATGACATTTTCCCTATAAAAAAACACAGAAAAAAAATAGGGTGTTCAAAAAAAAAACAAATACAAAAATACAAACCTCGTCTCGTGTCGATGTGGTAAACACTAATAAAATTGAGCGGTGTAAAATGGTAACCGAACCCGTGCCTATTGAATGCAATCTTATGACATTCGCCAAACACAATAGGTTGGGCTTCTTTATCAACTTCTGATACAGAAAAGTATTTTCTACTACCGTCAAAGTAAAATCTTGATAGCTCTCGCCAGGTTCTTTCTTCTTTATCGTTGTTACCAACGAGTGAATTCCAGAGATCACTTACAAACGCCATTTAAGTAAAAATAGGTGTCTTCTATCACAAAAATAGTACCTATTAATATTGTTTAGTGTTTATGTCAAAGTGTCATTGTTTTGTACTGTATTCTGTGTGTTGTTGGTCCCTGCTTTTGGAATAAAAAGATATGAATTCTGTTTTCGTTCGGTGCTACGAAATTAAAGCGTTTTTGTATGACTTTTTTTTCCTTTTTAAGGGGGGAAAATCATCGAATGGCTGCTCCCGTCTGGGTGAGGCGGGAGGGAGTGTCAGACTCTTACTGACTAAAAACCACCCCGTTCCTTCTCCTGCACGTCGAGCCGGAGTCCCGGTAACCCATTAGGTTCTCAGTGACTCTGGTTTTTGTCCTATGACTAGTGGTATAAACCTTCTTCGTACGAGAAGAGGCGTTTGGTCAGCAGTGACTACTTATACGCTGTTGATGTGAATACGAATGTTTAATTTTTACGTCATTTACAGAGGAATTCTTACATTATGTAGTGGAGCGAAAAGTATTGTATTTACGATTTAAAATGGACGTAATTTTATTTCCTTAAGAAGACCTATACTTATACTTAACACTGGTGCTTTATGCACGATCTTAGAAGTAAATTTATTCAATTTATGAATGAAATTATAAATGGGGAATATTTCTTAGTAAACCTTGACGTACAACATTATAAAGACAGGCCTAAGTTCGAGTTTGTTCTATGTTTAAAGTAATCGAAACGAGACTGTTCGGCGCTCTGATTGGCCGTCTCCAACGTACCAACCAATCCCAGTGCAATACGTTAACGAATGCGCGATACGTTAATACCGTCTTAAAATTATGAATAAAAGTACATCAGCCCATTTTTTAATGATCTGTCTAATAAGTATGGTAGTTGACAGGTAGTCAAATTCAATACTGTTATTGAAATGTCTAAAACGATACTTTTCTATGAATTTTGTATTGGATCGCAACTTATGACGTCATCATATTTCTGCGTCATAGCATAGGTAGCGAGAAAAATCCAAACGTAGGTAAATTGTCAAATCAATGGATGAGAGTATGATTATTATTTTTTAATTATTTGTTGCATTGAAAAGTTGAAACAATTTATTTTAAACCTAGTAAACTAGCCAATTTCAAAGTTGGAACTTAATCTATATAGAGGTATATAAAAGAAAGTCATGTTAGTTACACCATTTATAACTCAAGAACGGCAGAATAGATTTGGCTGAAAATTGGTAGGGAGGTAGCTTAGAGCCAGGAGACCGACATAGGATACTTTTTACCCAATTCTTTTTTTTTACTTTTTACCGAAAATCAAGAACGGGAACGGGAAATATCGGGATTGCGCGTACGAAGTCGCGGGCAGAAACTAGTACCTACTGAATAAATTCTAGTTTCTCTATACCTTTAGATAGATATTACTTGATAACTAACAATATGAACCAGTACAAATATATATAGACGTATGACTCATGCGAAATATTTTTTAAAAGAACTAGATTTTTAACATACACAATAATATAATGATTCATTACTTCGTCAATCTTCTACAGCTGTTCTCCAGATAAATTTTCGAAAAGTTTTTGTAGAACCAGTTCTTTAAGTATGTACGAATAAAATTAAATGTATGGAATCTGATTCGTCATAGCCTACGTAGGCAGATATTTCAGAACTATAACATGTTATAATAAAAAAACTAACGTCAAAACATTGAAGATAAATGATTTTAAAACGTAACTACGTTATAATAAGATTCTGAATTGTTTAAATAAAAATATTTCATTGAATAATAAGAATAAGAAATGAAATTTAAGCTTTTGTTTTATTCTTTTATTGCCTTATTTCATACATTTTATTATATAATTCTTTTATTTTATATTTACAACGTTTGAGGTTATTTTTGCGTCATACACTGGAAATGTATGTTGTCTGAACATCATACACAACTGAACGGAGAATTTTAATGTCTGTCTGTCTAACCTACATATTTACTAGTGTCGCAGTTATTTTAATATATAATAATTTATTTCCGGGCTTGGAAAAAAACGCTTTGAAGTGGAAAACCGGGTGTTTGTGCTGCTTCATTTACGTGAGGCCTAATTTATCTTCAGACTAGACAGCTTGTATGATATTATTTTAGAAATTTTTATTGACTACTTCTACAAAACATCAATTTGTATGGAATATCCGGGGACACGAGATCCTTTGGGTATTATAAAACACACTGTTTATAAATTTAACATCGCAACGCATCATAAAAATAGTTGGCAACCCTTGTCGTGTTTTATATTAAAAAAAACCCGGACGTCTTGCGTCATATAGAAATGTTTATGACCTCTGCCTGATGACAATTTCATCGGTGGCCAGATGTCGTCAACCGTTTAACACTATTATATTTTTATATATGGCCGATAAAATTATTTATTTAATCGTCGCTACACGATTTTTAGATATAAGGGCGTTATTAATAGTTTCCAAATACAAGATATTAACACATAATTTTCAATGATTTTTATGTCGTATTTTATTTATAGTCAACCTATAATCTAGTGTCGTAAAATTTTGAAAAAATCTACAACTTAACATGAAGTTAAATACAGAAATAAAAAATACGTTTATTGTTGCATCAACGAGTAACTGTCACAGATAAAACAATTTCGAAAAAATATAGTTATTTTTTTTTCAAAGGTTCATACTATTTAGCAGAGATTTATGCCAATTCTTCAGTATCTAGCATATTAAATATTGTCAGTAACAATAATGGTCCCCATTTCCCTGCTTGACTTTTACGATGCAGCCCGAGCGAGCACAGATTAAAAATTTATATTTTACGCATAAATATCGTTGATGGATAAAAATAATAACATAAATATTATTTATTTTTAACAAGCCAGTTGTTGACTGTTGTCGTTTTATTTAATAAACAAATTTTCATATTTTTCTGTTATCTAGGTGCTGTTTACAGTTTAGAATGTCTAATTTCAAGGTTTACTAGTTAATATATATTTTGCACATATATTGACAATAATAAAGTTACCTAGAATATGCCAAATCACATAGGTACCTACTTTACACCAGGAATGTTAATAATTCTTTCAAAAACTAAAAAAACCGACTTCAACGTCCTCTTTTTTGAAGTCGGTTAAATAATATACTAAAACCTTTTCCTAAGTATAACAAACAGTTTTCTGAAAACCGCGTCACAATCGGTTCAACCAATTGCACATACATACTGGTCAATTAGACGTCCACCTATTTTTGAAGTCGGCTAAAAACCTCATATCAACAGAAAAATCAATATTAATAAAATTATATTGACTTTTGAAGACTGAATGATCTTAATTGAAGACTATTTTATCACTGGGATTCAAAAAGTTGATCAAAATAACTTGTTCAATGAAAATATTTATTTAATTTTGAAATTTTGTGTCAATTTTGACCGTGGGTTCCCCATCTGTTACAATGATCAGTATAATTATGCAAAAATATAAAAGATACTAACATAATTATGAACAACTAGCTTCTCGGTCTGCTCGGCGTCTATTAATCGTAGCGTGATATTTTATAGCCTATAGCCTACCTCAATAAATGGGCTATCCAACACAGAAAGAATTTTCCAAATAGGACCAGGAGTTTCGGACATTAGCGCGATCAAACAAACAAACAAAAAAACAAACTCTTCAGCTTTATAATATTAGTATACATTTGAAAAGAAAACTGTGCTACGTATTTATTGAAAAACATAAATCAACTTTGACGTCCCTCTGATATCTACATTACATTATTACGTAGTATATCAAATACATTATTTTTAATGTTTTCCTGTCCAGCAAAACAGTCGTTTGCACGAATTTCTTGGCAAATATTTTCTCAATAAATTACTATTATAAATATTATCGATGTGTCAGTCAACACGTCCAAATGTTGACAACCTCCGCTTCTAATTATATTGATTTCGATAAAAATATTATTCGAGGAGCTTTTACTAGAAACTGCTAGCATAGATTGAAATATTTTTTTAATTGAGAAACTGGGGAAAATTGTTAATATAGGTCATGGATCATTACTATGCCAATTCCGACATTTAGATTCATTGTGGGTTAAAAAAAGTATTAAATAAATGAGGTTTAATTAAAAATTAAAACAATTACCTACATATTATATTAACTAGACTACATACAGGCTCTTTTGAGGAATCGAAATATACCATCAGTCTATCTGTGAATGAAAGTATCTAATCAAATTATTTTATAATATGTCAATCTAAAATCTGTGGATCGGTCTAAGTTTTGACTTGTAATCTCAAAAATTGCTCTTTATCCAAAAAATTTGAATATTTTAATATGAGTAACTCATTTCGTCTGTTAGAAAATCTAGGTTTTGAAATAGTAGTCTTTAATAGTAGATACTTTTTTATACCAAAACTTAACTTAGCTACATCCCCAGAAATATTAAAAACATTATTTACTGCGAAGCAATTAACGGGTTGCCGGGGCTCCGGCTCGAAGAGCAGGAGTAGGAACGGGGTGGTTTCTAGTCAGTAAGAGTCTGACACTCCCTCCCGCCTCATCCAGGCGGGAGAAGGCATTCGACGACTTTCCCTTATTAAAAAAAATATATCTATGGCAACATCCTATTTAAGAAGCTGTAAACACAAACTTTGTGCCCACAACAAAAAGGTTAACATTACTAACTGCACAAAAATGTAGGTAAATTCCCTATCAAATTATAATTTTGCTACTGTTCTTCGTCAAAAAATTTTGATTCATATAATTACTTAGTTATGTAACGTCGAAAAGATGTATTATTTGAATATGTATTTTTTCACAAATAATTCCATTTTTCCAAAAACGATACAGTTTTGCGTCCCAGAGTTCATTTCGGGGACAGCGGGACTCGTAATTACAAAAAGAGTATATCCCGTTCAAAACGGGACGTCTGATCACGGTATACTAAAATCCCAACATCTCAGAAATGTTTTAAAAATTTTCACACCTACTATAACTTCTGTCACTCATCAGTT